GAATCAATTAATGTCCCTCGAGATGCCATCAAGATAAATGTTTGCGCAATTTAAAAAAGTTTAAGCAATCTATATATAATTGTGAGAAAATAAGATAATCTGTTATTATATTGTTAGTGACATTTCAGTCTGTTTCTATATATAGTTTATCTTTTATCCATTAATAAATTTACTAATTATATCCATTGAGCGAATTAGCGTTCTAAAATTATATGTGAAATATTTTACCTTGATATTGGAATCTAACCCAAGCGGTTTACCCGCTTGCTCTAGACCGCGCGTGGAAACGAGCGTTTTCAGCTGTTCTTTCGTCGCGCTTGCGACCGGCGTGACGTGTAAGAACAAGCCGGTTCTCAATCTGGGGATAGGCACGATGATCTCCTTGTTCGCCTGCAGGGCCAAAAATCTCACCGGCTCCTGCGGCTTGTCCGGATTTATCTTTATGACTCTCGCCTTCTTGAACTCGTCCAGCTCGATCAAGCGCTGCGCCGCCTCCGCGGCGCCTTTGAAGTTCGGGATACGCTTGTATATGCTAACCGGGAAATTCACCAGCTCGTTCTTCATCATGTAGTCCCACACCTTGCGACGGAAACTCGACTTCGTTACCTCCTCGGCTGTAAGAAATTGTCGACGTGAGGGCATCAGCTGGCGAACGGCAACAATACATATACGGCTCGCGCGTGCAAAATCATTTCAAAATGGTGAGACGCGCATACGCGGCGCGAGGTACGTCTACACGTCTCTCTCGCAACACAAAACACAAGTGCCCAAATTATTTCTCTTTGACGTTCAAGAGCCCGTAGGTGGCCGTATCGATGGGGGGGGATTCAAAGAAAACGCCTGTTGCGCCGATCGCACCACGGGCAGGCCCACTCACGTAAGTTCTCCGTCATCTTGACCGGTTGATCACCAGCGGAATCTCAGTGGGCGGAGGTCCAGGACCCAGGAAGAGAGAGATCCCAGGTAGCGTCGTCCGCGAGGTCTCTCCCGCAAAAATAGACCGCACGCAGAGAATCGTCCCCCCGTTCACACTTCACACCACACGCGCGGCCCCTTCCCCTCCTCTAACCCCTTCGTGTCTATTTCCACCGCGGCCGCCACGCCCGCAAACCCCGCGGCATCGCAATCCACTAGGGATCCGACCAACCTCGCCTCGCGCGTCGACGCGAGATATCGTGCGCGCGGGGCAGGAACGCCGGGGAAAACGTGAGGGACGTCGGAATTTCGACGCGCTTTTTTTTTTTTTGCGAGGACGACCGTCGACGGACGATCGCGGCGGGAGAGAGGCGACAGGACGAATCAGCTGATCCCTCGAGCAGCAACTAGGGAGTTAGAGGCTCCAATGCCTCCAATTCCCCAGCTCGTCGTCGTCCGCCGAGGATCAGCTGATTCGTTTGACTGTTGCTGCAATTATCCATCCAACATGTTCGCGATAGCCTTATGTTGTCCTCACGACATCCTCCCGTCGTCCTCACGTCGTTTTTCATTCTGTCATCCTCATAATGCTTTCTAACTTGTGGATCTCTGTTTCGCCCGCAGCAGCTGCACCACGTCGCACTTTCTCGCAAGGGGACGAATGGGAAAAAAAGGAGGAAAGATAGATACAAAAAAAATTGCCATAAAAATAAACCTTTCTTAGATTCACCTTTCCTCTCTGATAAACAAGATTGACCAGATATTCGAACATTGTTGATTACGAGACAGAGCGAATAATCGCAGAAATGCAGAGAGAGAGTGTAAGCTGCAGTGCAAGTCGCTAGCGCCGTCCACGTGACTGCCGAACAGTAACGGACACTTAATTTTCTTTTTATCGACGTGATTTGCGAGGATACTTTAACAGACGTTTTTTTTCCGCACGACGGACCGCGAAGATTTCCACACGCGGGCGGAGCCCAG